GCAAGTATATTGCATAAGTTTAGCTTCCTGGTGTAGCATCATTTGCACCTCTCCAAATTCGAATGCTCTTGATTTCAAAGTAGACTATATACGATGGTGCAAGCGCCGAGGCCATGTTGGTTGCAACTCTGCGCGGCAGCCATCCGCTCACTCGTCGACAGGGCTGGCGCCTCATGTCTTGGACCGACAGTGACCTGGTGGGCCTCCGAGTCGCCGTCGCGTCGGCCGCGGGCCTCACAGGGGGGTCTCCCCGGCCTCTGTTAGCGCCGCCGACCGTAGGACCGCCTTTCACCACGTGCCAAGCTAACAGAGCGACGCCCAGTGCGTGCTAACGATTGTCGGGTTCGTCGGGTCCTTTCACCCCGCAGGGTCATGGTCGGGACGGCACGGGACAGGAAGGGTGCCCCACTCTGGCCGCCGCTCGACCACAGCGCAGCAGCCGTCGCACTCGGCAGTGATCGGCACCCATAAACAGGTTCAGTCATCACCACCAGCGAGTGAAACTCGTCCGGTTGTCGTGCTGAGTGACAATCAGAGCGTGTACTAGGTCTACCACTGACGAGTCAGACAACCCCGCATGGTGGCAGCGGACAGGACCGGTGGGTGGCCTGTCCGGTCTGCCTGCACCGGTTCTAGTTGTCAGACGAGCCCGGCCGACACGTCGGAGTGGCGAGCCGAGCCGCCGTCCGGCTCACTGAACCGAGCCAGGAGCGCTGACGGACCTTACAGACGACAGACGACGGTCCGCCTTTGAGAGCCATGATCGCCGGGTCATTAGGCAGAGCCGGGTGTGGCAAGTCAACCGTGAGGGAATGGAGAGCCCCTGTCCGATATGGTCTGTGCCAGGAGCGTGGAGATAACCCACGCACGGCGCGAAACGGCACGATACGGCACGGTACGGAACGGCAAGGCATGGTACGGCACGGCACGGCACGGCACGGCACGGCACGGCACAAAGATGGGGCGTGGTGATGTGAGGGAGCATGTCGTCCCACTCGGACCATCAGCCACGCAAATGGGATCAACGGGATCAGAGCTCATTTACGTCGGAGTCTCCCCCCCCCTCCCAGTGCTGCCCCTCCCCTGGCGCCGACGACGTCCCTCCCCTCCCCCCCCCCCGGCCCATCGACACGGACGCACTCCCCCGCTAACGGCCCGTGCTGCTGCTGCCTGTGGCTTGGGGGAAACACCGCCACACCTCCTCTCCTGCTCTCAGCATCCGGGGCAGTGGGTTACACCGGGAAACTAGTCTCGAGTGCTCCGTTCCAGTGTGTACCCACTGGACTGATTCCGAGACCGGCGACCGCGGTTAGGCAAGCTGGCCTTTTACCCAGCGCATGTTGATTATGACATCCATGAAAATTAACACTGCGGCAGTTACCAAGTGACATCGTCACTGGACATCGCCATGACCGTATATGAGCTAGGCTGACGTCGTTAGATCAGCGCTCTTAGCAAATGTAACAAAACGTAATGTTCATGGATTTTTTCTCCCACTCCCAATTGTTCGTAAGGATGGAGCAGGGCTACGATAGATAAAGCAAAACTTCTAAAAGTTAACCGCCATACTCAATAATGCAGTCACGGCCAAAGGAAAATAGCTGCCTGCAATGTCGACCACTCTCGCTTTCGACTACGGTTGTGCCAGACCCCCATTGACGACTGCATGAAGTGAGCCATGTGTGTGCCTGTCACCTCTCACCAAAGCACCACTTCACAGCTGCTGATGATGATTTAGCAGTATTGCAGCAGGCTTGGACTGAATACCAATGAACGTAATGGAGGCAAATGAGCAAGAGTTGTCAACCGCCTGAGGCCGCTTCCTTGTAATGTAATTTTGCAAGCCCCGTAGTCCGTACCAGCCCTTGCGTCATGTTCCACCACAAATAACCCCCAATCCGGCAATTGTGTGGTTACGAGCGAGCGAGTGCAGCGAGCGAAGCGAAGTCTTTTCAATATAACGGAAAAATCTCAGTATGAGCGGCCCGGCCCGGCCTGTAACGCTTTTGAGAGGCTGATATCTCATCAACCGCTGGACCGATTGGCCTGCGGTCTTTTTTGCTGGGTAGCCCCATCCCTTCTACCCCGTAATTGACCACTTCTGATACATCTCAGTGACCGTCGTGGCACGTGCCACGTGAAAAGTCAAGGGTGTTCAAGCAGTTTTGCAAAAGTAGTGATTTTGAGAGGCCCATATCTCAGCAGCGGCTTGAGCGATTGTCTTGCGGTAATTTTTTGTAGGGTAGCTGCATCCCCTCTACCAAAGGTCGGATACTCTTGACCTATGTGAGTGACCCCCACTGCACGTGCAAAATACAAAAAGAAGAGGTGCCAAATTTGTTCCCATTTCAGTAACTCGGTAATTACTGGGGCGATTTCGCTGAAACTTGGCATACAGATTGGCACCCACCAGGCAATGCATTCCCAAATCCCATGTGTTGCGGTTAGGGTGCTACTGCACGTGCGCACGTGCAGGGGGCGTTTCCAGATCTCGAGAACGGCTGGGCCGATTGCGTTCAAATTTGGTACACGGTTGGGAACCGGTTAGTAGGGTGTCGTGCAAAAGTCATTTTGGACCCCGTTTGCACGTGCGCACGTGCAGAATGCCGCTTCCAGATCTCAGGAACGGCTGGGCCGATTGCGTTCAAATTTGGCACACCGCTAGCGACCGGTTAGAAGAGTGCTTTGCACAAGCCCGTTGGAAGTACCCTCTTGTCCTTCCGCACGTGCAGGGCTCACTATCTCGCTCGCTCGTTCTTCGCCAAAAAGGCGTTTTACTGTTGGTTACGAGCTGATACTCTGTAATGCGCTTTCTTGCTGCGGCTTTCGTCAAGATCCGTCTCCTGAGCTGATATCCGGAGGTTCGGATCGTCAGAAGACGCTGCTGATATGTACATTACTGTAAGGTGCATCTGAGCCGATCGAGCAACATATGTCACTTTCCGAATGCAGTACAATCGAGATCGGTCGGCCTTGGCTCTTGGCCTCAGAAACTCAGGCCTGGAGCAACACAGTAAACTCAACAAAGATCAACACTACTACCAGTCCACAGTCCTGACTCCTGAGTTCCGTATACCTATACGAATAATTTCATCGGCCGGAGCTAACGAACAAACTAAGGCACGTCGTTGGTAAATATATTAGAGTACCTGATTATGGCAAACGTGGTAAACTTTTTTCTCAGTGCACTTCATTGTATTCATTGTATTCATATAGTTGTCATCACAAATGCCAGTTGGCCCTGGTGATGATATGTAGCGCTAGCAACACTTGCATATATGCACTCGACATTAAACCCACAATATGCAAACACAGATACACACATTCCTAAATTTTCATGTCATTTTATTAACACATGAGATGTAAGAGCATTATGGAACACATTTTGTGTAGCAACAACCTAATCATTATTTCTCAAGTTTTTTCAAGCTTCTCAAACCAGGAGACCGTCTTCTAGCTATCGTTACGTAAAGTATCAAATATAGCTATTTAGCTTTCCTGCGGTCTTAAGGCTAATAGCATTTCTCGAAACTCATTAAAGGAAGTTGCATTTACTACATTATGGGGAAGACTATTCCAATCACGTATGACGTATGGTTCTTGGGAAGAAAGATTGGTGATATGAAAGGACTCTAGATTGGATCCTTCTTATTTTCTTTTCATGATCATTTCTCCCAGTGTAGCAAGGCGGGCATATAAGGTCACTAACATCTACTTTCATATCGCCAGTATACATTTTAAATAACAAACACAAACGAGACTCCTTTCGTCTCACATCTAGCGGTTTCCAGTTAATATTTGACAGCATGTCATTAACGCTACTAAACCGTAGATAGTCATTCATTACAAATCTAGCTGCTCGTCGTTGAATCATCTCAATCGCGTTTTTCGAAGCCTCACCACACGAATCCCATACACAGCTCGCATATTCTAAAATTGGTCTCACCAGCGTAATAAAAACTGTTTCTCTTACAGATCGGGGACAATCTTTGAAGTTTCTCTGAATAAATCTAAGAATTTGGTTTCCTTTTCCGGTTGTGTATTCAATATGTTTTTGCCAGCCACATCTACTTGATATGTAGATTCCTAAGTACTTATATTCTTGGACAACTTTAAGATCTACTCCATTTAAGGTATACTTTGGGTTTAATGGTGCTTTATGCTTGGACATTCTCATAATGGCACATTTATCAATATTTATCACCATCTTTGATTTTTGGCACCACTCTGCTAATCTTGTAAGGTCACTCTGTAAAACATAACTACTTTGCTCAGTATTCAGAACGTCTGTGTACAGAACAACGTCATCTGCAAATAACCTTATTGAACAGGTAATCTGGTCGGGGAGATCGTTTATGTAGAGAAGAAATAAAATTGGACCTAAGACACTACCTTGTGGCACCCCAGATGAAACATTTATTGACTCCGAAAGAGAGTTTTCTACTAAAACTCTCTGGGTTCTGTTTTTTAGGAACGAGCTTATCCATCCTACGACATTTTTATCTAATCTGTATGATAAAAGCTTACTCAGAAGGAGATTGTGGGGAACTTTATCAAAGGCTTTACTGAAATCAATGAATGTCAAATCTATACACCTCCTTTTATCGATTGATGACATCAAATCCTGGTATAACATAATTAGCTGTGATTCACAGGATAGCCGTTTTCTAAAACCATGCTGATGCTCTGAGAGTAATTCGGCATCCTCTAAATAAGTCATTATTGACGTAGCTAATATCCTCTCCATGATTTTACAGCAAATGCATGTCAGTGAGATTGGTCGGTAATTTGCAGGCATTTTGTGACTACCGCCCTTAAAAACAGGATGGACTATGGCCTCTTGCCAGTCTTGAGGAATTTCACCAGTTTCCAAGGATTGCTCAAATATAACTTTTAAAAATAATGCTGCTACTTTCCCAAAGTACTTTAGCATCGACCCGCTTATATTGTCAGGGCCATGCGCTTTCCCGACTTTAATTTTTTCCAGAAGAACCACTTACCAACGAAATCGTCCCGTTTGTAGATGGAGTCGTAGTGACAGGCGAGCACCAGCCGGCGCGGCGCCAACGGGTTGTGCGTGGCCACCACGTTGGTGAACGGCATCGGACCGAGCGGCGTGCGCATCCGGAACGTCCTGTCACCGTCCACCGTCCACCCCAGTGACGTCATCACGGAGACGATGTGCTGTGGACAGCGTGCAACAAGGATTTGTGATAATAGGTGAGTGGTAATACAAATGAAGTATATATAGTGTTATATTCACGCCACTGGTATCAAATGTTTGATGCTGGTATAAAAAAAAAAATTCGAAGATTGAAGATCAACCTGATAAGAAATGAAATCAGAAATGAGTGCATTTTGCATGATGGACATGGACTCATGAAATATTTATAGGTGTGCTACCATGTTTACATATTAAATATGATGGTTGACCGTGACATGGGCCAATCAATCGCACCCAATTCGTTGACAATGCATGCCCCCTGTGCTTGCACTAACACTGAGGTGACAGCAGATAGCCACCAGTCGGCCAGGACCGCCGCAATGTTGGACTTCTGTCTCCGCACACAGTAGATCCCAGTGACGTAATATTCCCAGGAGCTCACGTTACGTCACCCGCTCACAGGCTCACAGTCCTGCGGTGGCCTGTGTTATGTGTACTGTGAGCGCTTTCACAGCCGCTCCCGACCCGTCTGAGAGGAACTGGCTGCCCTGAAGGTCAGTTTCAGCTGAGCGGCGGTAATCGCGCTACCCTGACCTTGCCTCTGGTTCCGACAGTCACTCCTCTATACTCTCACTCTTAACTACCAAACCAGCCACATTCAGGTTCCGCGCTACACGTGTGCCTCCTCCCAGGCAGGGAGTGGTCGGATTGATGGGTTGAAGAGACTCGCCACAAGGTGCTGGTCAGGATGAATGTGACGACCCTAAACTAAACGGATATTAGAAATAGGTACGATCAAAAGCGCAACGGCAGTGACTGTATTTGCCCTCGCCAATAGATGTGGTTTTCCGGCAATAATTATTTACCTACCTACAGTAGCCGACAACCGCCCGCCCCTGGTCTCTGTACTTCGGGAGACGGTCTCAAATCTTCTGATACGTCTGATATATCAGAAGCTTGCCTGGCGTTCATTGCCGAATTTAAAAGTCACTGTCTGACCGTCCCAACACAGCTGACCTAGCCCCTCACCCTCCGCACAGTGACTTACCCCTCTCAAAGTGACCTGTTTCCTTTCCCACTTAGCTGCCGGCTGATCCTCTCCCCCCCCCCCTCCCCTCTACTGACCTGTTCCGCTCTCCTGTTGTACCCTAACCGCAGTAAGTTGTCCACGTGCAGTGACCTGACCCTTCTCCCCCAGTGACCTATCCACTCCGTCCAGTGACCTGACCCCTCTTCCCAGTGCCCATCTTCCCCCTCTCTCTACACTGACCTGTCTAACATCCTCGTGTGCCGGGCTGGTGACGTATCTGGGCCGCAGGATCGGCTGCAGCAGCGACATGAACACATCACCGCGCGGGTCGGCCGTCTGGTCCAGCAGTGCCAGGGTGGTCAGGGAGCTGTCGTCCAGCCGCAGCGGCCGGTGGCGCGCCTGGGGGGGGGGGGGGGTAGACGGAGAGGGGAGCGAGGTCAGAGGTCATGCGTGCGGGCAAATCGCAGCTGTGCCAGAGTTCGATGGTCTAATGCAATGCTGTTAAAATAATGTGCATTTGATTAAATTAATGCCTAAATATGATACAAATTGTTCCATCCATCATCGAAAATTCATGTAATGCTAACTACAAAGTTCTCATATTTTGATTTCAGCTCAATGTTTTGGTAAACAAAACAACACTGCGAACAAGCACCAATGACCAAACATCCATTAGAAAGAGAAGAATAAATGCTTCTGAGGGTTTTTTGTAACTATAGGCACTTAATTTTGCATGAGCTACTCGAGAACGCTTGACTAAATGCTAGCATAAAGTGTCTTTCCGCTAATATTTTATTACGCACGCCCTTTCTAAAACTCATGACCCATCCTCTCAGCGGCACAAATTGGTGAAAGGCCACCGTCGTCAAAGAAGGTTAACTGGCGTGTGAAGGCACAGAAGCAGCTCACGTTCACGTCGCGACCACTGCACCGCAGCAGCGTCTCTGTTCACCCAAACACGAGCAGATACGTGATGAGAGCGTGACCCCTCGTATGGTCACGGTCAGCGCACGTACTGACCCAACGTGGGGCCGCGGTCAGCGCACGCACGGGCTGTGCACCTGTTGTGCCCACCGGGAGACCGCTAGGTGACCACTGTGACCTCAGAAGGACCGCTGTGACATGACTTCAGAATGACCGCTGTGACCTGGCTGTGTTAAATGTGTGCGGACAAGTGAGTTATATGATATTTGGAATGTGTTTTTAAACGTTATGTGATGAGAAATTTCTGCGACATCTAAACGTTTTCCTGAAGATCATATATCACTTAAGTTTTGCTTAATTCTAAGACGATTCAATCAGACCAATCCAATATGACTTATGCATTGGAGCATATTCATTTATTTATTTAAAAAATAAATTATCTGTCTTCGTCCATTCAAATGTCAAACGGGAACAAGCCCGCTGGGCCAGTCCCCTTTAGTTACGTCCGAGCAGCTGTTTTCAAAGTGACCGCTACTGCTTCGCTGTGCAGCATTGCGTCACTACACGCACTAAACAACTAGCTACATACATAAAAAACATGTCTCAGTAAGCACTCACTGCAGTCAGCCGTCACCTAGTTCCCCAGACGGAAGCGATGAACTAATAGTGACGTCAAAAAATCGCCCAACACATGTGAAACCACCGCTGAGGTTTTTCCTAAGTCAAATGTCAGAGCGGTGCATCCTTCCCCGAACTCGCTAACGGGAGCTACACCGCTGAAATTGTCCACTGCTCGCTCAGCAACTGCAACGTTAAAGGCGAGAGCGTTTTTGTCGGTCAGCCTCAGCACACTTTTCATTACGCCGCTCTCTGCGTAGAAACTGTGCTTATTTTTGTATGCCACAAGTGTGTGTGCGTGAGTGCACCGAATGGTAGTCGGGAGCATCGTATTGAGTTCACGTCCATATCTTACACATAGGCGGCAGCCATAAAGGAGCTGACGTAAGGGTTGCTAGAGAAACGATACTAAACAAACTTTATAATACGATTAGCACTCGCCAGTCGTCACGTATGGGTGCACTCTCCCCCAACATGGGTGATCATGTGAAATACATGAGCATTTAGTGCACAATGCACATGTCCACAGCGATGGCTGCGTGAAACGCTATATATGTTTGTGTCTGAGCGCTTGTCTTACGCGTTGTCTGATATCGACATTGCTGGTTTCATAGGACATAAGAAAAATGCAAGTCTTTGATAGATACATATTTCACAGATGACTGGTGGACATTTCAGCATGTCATTTTCCCACCCTTTATTGCCTTGGCTTGACGCGTCAACACTTAGTTAGTATGTAGTCTCTTACGGGTGCAGTCGATTCGAGCAAACCGCATTTGATGCGTGATAAAACGGTGTGTCTAAAAGTATGTCCCTGCCATCGCAGTCTGGGACTGGTCATATCACACAAAAACACGCAGACGGTTTGATGTGGCATGCAGTTGATATATACGAGCAGATACTGCACATCGTCAGTCGTTCAGCTTGTTACAGCCCGTAATGAAACATTCCGTGCGAAAACTAATTCGTCACAAAAACATCCACGGAATGCTAGCACCAATACCGAAACTTCTCACCCTAATCGACTTTAAGGAGAAGAACGAAATAATTTAATCACGAACCGGATGACAGGCGGCACTTGCCGTCCGTGAGCCAGTTTTTCGGGGCGTGTGCAGGCATCGTTTTTCATTCTCAGACACTTGCGGAGCGGATGTTCCGACGGAGTGAGGACTGTCAGCGATCAATGTACATTGTGACACGGCAGAATTTATGGACCGGGCCAGTACCACAGCGCACGGGTCTGCACTCGCTGCTGTGCCGCCCCGTTTAGACCACGGGGTGAGGGTGGGGTGGGGGTCAAAGGGCCCCTTTGAGGTCTTCACAGATAACTCAAATGCGTCGAGGAGCCTCGTCAAAGACGCTTGCTATCGCCATGCGGCTCTATGTAGCGAGCTACCCATTTCATCACTTTTATTTGTTCGGACTGTTGATACAGTCGCCATTGCTGACAGAATGGGCGGATAACCGGCATGGAGAGCCGATTGTAATGCACTCAGCGGATATTGCTGATCTTAAAGTGCAGGTGCGTTATGTGACAGCAGTACGCTGCTGATACATATCTAGGACGATCCTGATCTATTGTCTACAATAGCCGCGGAGTGCATTACAATTGACTCCCATACAGATAATCAGATTGTCAGTAGTATGGCGATGCTCTATGCGCTGGAGGGGCTGGCGTGAGGACTCGACGGCTGTCCTGCAGTGACACGAGTTTGATTACGGACTATGTGAGAAAGGAGACTACGACTCGAACTCCAGAACAGGCCTGCTTCTAGATCATCAAAGCTACCGGAAGTGACGATTTGGTTGACTAAAGTCCAATAGACTCGCATTCTGTCGTCTGTAATTCCAGCTCATCTGTTTCCAATCTCGCGACGATAACTGTAATAAATGAAAATAGCTTCCAAGAGCCGCTTTATCTGCTTATAGTAAGTAAGCGCTCCATTCAGTAGCATGAGAATATATGAACCGGAACCGGATCACCGGCAGTCTGTGTCCGTTTCTGAGCGCGCCGTGTCGGGTCGCCGGGCGGGTCGGGCGGTGCCTTTTGATGAGGTCCGCTGAGCGACATCCGAATTCCGAACACTCCGATCCGGCGCCGGGGCCGCCGCTGATCGCTGACGCCCACACTCAGCCCCGACGGAAATAGGTTCCGGTGCCCAGATTAAAATCGCCACCGTCGGCTAGCCAGCCGGGGGCGGCCGGAGAGCCTCGGGCGCTCTCAGTACTCGGCAACTGGTCTGATTGTGCAATGCACAGAACGGACGCAGTTTTTGTTCATGTCCCAGCGTTAGAGTCTACTGATAGGAGTCAGATAAGGCCGGAGCAAGGCTACGTCAACATTCTCTTAGACTGAAATTAAACAGTGACACGGTAAAATCATTACTGAAAGTTCTGAAACCAAGAGTGTTCTGAACTTATCCATAGCATAGCTCAATAAATTTAATCGCAATTTGCTTTGTTAGAACTTCACAACGAAACACGTTATTCGCACTTCTTACGCGTTTAATTTTGCGCAGCTCAGTAGGTATCGGCGCAAGCATTGAAAAAAAAAATACAAAGAATTATTTATGTAACGGAAGTTAGCAGGGATTCAACAGGGGCTCAGCAGGGGTTCAGCAGGGATCGATGTCCCCTTCGATTTCGCCAAATTTTGGTGGAGAGGTGCAGAATGGTGTCCGCTTTTCTCATCTATAAGTTCTAAGGTCATGGTTTCTGTAAAAGCTCACCATGCCGCACTTATGTCAAGAAAACTGAGTACGAAGTACGAATGCCTCAGGCGCTGTCTTTTGTCGTCATTAATCTTCTAAGCATATTAGTTCCTTTTCCTGACTGAGTGCACTTCCTGTTAGCCTTGACCCTTCCTTGCTCTGCAACTCATAAAACGGCGCAATACAAAGGCCTTTAGCTCGGCTTCAAAGTTTAGCATTCCATTCAGTTCTCTCTCTAAGAGTCACCTCAGCGTTCTAACTACCCTGTTGCCGAGTCATTAGTCCATCACACGCTGCCACGAACACCTCGCCGGATACTCAGAAATAGCGTCACGTAGAGCCCAAATCCAGCCCAAACGAAAATTGATGAAGGTCGGGCCGCTTACCTGTCTTTGCAGCCACGAGAGGTCCTGTGCTAAAACTGGAAGGCACACCAGAAGAAAGACGGGAAACAGGGACGAGAGCCAGCTCATCTTGACCTGTGGAAAAGGAGCAAGCATGAGCGTTCGTTATTGGTTTTGGTGGTTTGTAGAGCACGGCGAATAGGTATAGATTGTTCCTCATAGGTATATGAGCTGAAACGAGTGATGCAAGAGAAGTGTATGTGACTTGAAAAACGAGTGTGAAGTACGCATTTACAATGAAATAAACAAGCTGAATCATGGTCGAACAAAAAGCTACGACAAAGTCTGAAGGCCAGCTCTGAATGCCACCGGAAGAACAGCGTTCCGTTGCCTTCTTCGGCGGCGAAAGGAACAAAAGCACGTCAGCCACGACGTGCTCGCCTGTTGTTTCCTTTCTGCTGCGAAACACAACAATAAATGTGCCACAAATGCATCTATTACTAACTTTCTAGAGCTTTAATTCAAGCCTTTAAAGCACGCGCACATTTCTTGAGGAGTGTTGTTCATTATTTTCGGCAAGCCAAATTGTTTGAGCCAAGCAATGTAAGCATTTGAAAGCGATGGATTTGGTTATCTGCTGCACACTTCATTGCACACTTCATTAAGCAGCGATCATTATACGAACAGTTTCTTGCTCCCCGAATTACGGTACAAAATAAGTGGTAAATGGATTATGTAATTTAAAAATCAGCATTAAATCAGACACTGTGAAAGTGCATGTAGGAACCTGTAGTGTGCTCACCGCAATTCATGACAAATCGGAGGCCCGAAGTATGTTTGCATCACAGATTAATGTGAGTACACGCATTAACACGCGCACTGCAGCAGGTCTGAGCCGAACACGAACTGCAGGGGGGGGGGGGTTGAAAACAACCCCCCCTGAGATCTCGAAAACGGCGCAACGTAGCGACAAGCGGTAAACGGCGTTGGATAGGTTAAGATGAGATCGACAAGAAATACAAAGATCATTTTTGGGTCAGGTCAAAAACGAGGTCACCAGAGGTCACCGAAGACAAAATGTTACGATTTTCACAACAGGAATTTCGCGGTAGTTTTCTTGAATAACTTGTCTTGCACACAAGACAGAGGATCGATTCGAACGCCATCGTTCTTAGCTCGTCAAGGCGCATCGAATGATATATAATATGACCTCGAAAGGTCAAGTTGAAAATTTGACCTCAGGTCAAGGTCATGACCTGACCGAAATAGGTCATGTTGCATATCATTCGATCCGCATTGACGAGAAAAACACGATAAACGTCGAACGGAGTCTCTATCTCTACTCAATCTCAAGTTATTGAAGAAAAACCGCTGGTGACCTCAGGTGACCTAAGATGACCTGGAGATCACCTTCCAAAGGTCATAAGTGATATGTTTCGGTGAAATCACCAACAGGGACCTGTAATACTATGATCCTGAGCGTATTGAAGTCATAGGATGGCATTCAGAGTAAGTTGAAATTTCTCCCATTGACTTATAATGGGCCGGTCGCAAAAATGACCTGACCTTAGGTCATCGATATAAAAATTCCGAGATATACAAGTTGTAGCTCGTGATGACTTTACTATTTCCTGTGGGCTTCAAGATCATATCTCAACAACTGTGGGCTTGGTGGGATTGCAAACTTCGAAATTTACGTTTCGAGGTAGGGTCACTTGACCTGACCTGGTGACCTGACCATAGGTCACCTGGGGTCAAAATTTTTACTCAAGGTGTGCAAAAGTTGTGAGAACAGGTATGCAAAATTTGGCGGCGCTACGCGCCGCCGTTTTCTCGCAATTTGCGAAAAACCACAGGGGGGGTTGAAAACAACCCCCCCTGCAGTGCGCCAATGACCTGATTGGTGGTGACTTCCAAGCCGGGTTCAAGTTTCGGAATCGCATTGTTGGAAGCTGTAAGACGCCATCACCGTCTTCCTCAACGAAAGATAGATCTGCATTTTCCTGTTCAGCCCAGCCAGGACGATGGCGTATGGCACAATGACAAAATTATCACCCCAGTCATCAAACAAAAAAACGCAGCGAGTGAACTATGAGTGCCATGTCTGCCATACAAAGAGCACGATACCCCCGGCTGTCCGTGTCTCACACCCATCTCACCTCTGTTGTGTCGTCCGGTGTCTCGTGGACCACTGTGCACCACCGCCGCGCCACGGTGCGCCCGTGACGACTGACTCCGGCGGCGGCGGCGCGGCGGCGGACGCACCGTTACGGTCGGCGCTCAGGTACCGCCCGCCAGGCGGCGCCTGCTGCCGCCGACTGTGACGGAACGGCTCAACATCGGCACACAGCCAGCGGCGGCGGCACGGCGAGCGGAGGCAGGCGGGCGTCATGACAGCGTGATTGACAGCGCTATTGGTGGCGGAGATTGGTATTGGGAGGCGGTGGCTGTCACAGACGACGGTCAAAGGTCATCGTTGATAGCTCAACCTTCAGCGATTGATGGTAGAGCGGGAGACGTTCAGATTCGGTAGCGTATCCTAAAGGTACTTAACGATAGGTCAAGCACTTTTCCCGCGCCATGTCATCTCATCTTAACTGAGTATGAAAAAATGAATAGAAAACTTACTCATTGGTATCCGTGAAAACATGCACTTAGGTAGGGGAAAGTGGGTTAAGAGGGGCACCTTAACTTTGGACCCATTTTTCAGCCGGTTAGAAACATCATATAAACGGGAAACTGAGTGAAAATCTTTTTTAGACATTTTACTTCCATTTGCCAGAAGATGAGACTTAGACTTGATTCAACAAATAAACTGCAGCTATTTCTGCAAAACCTTGCAAAAACCCGTCTTACCCCACCCCATGGGGTAAGACGCTCACATGGGTAATAGGGCAAGACGGCCATCTTCTTTCAATGACCAGCACAGCTCGCAACAAATGCCCGAGATTAGCCGCATTGATACAGTCGCTCGTTGGTCTCAAGTGCTTCGGAAATGGCAGTATACGAGATTCGTGCAGAAGGCGTATGTTCGTATAGGCCCTAGTTCAGAAGCCATGTAGAACCGTTTTTCACATTCATTATTCGAGGATAAACGGTGCCGAAGGAATTTTGCTAACATGTCTGTGAGTATCGGAATCGAACATATTCTTATTAGAAAGCTTCTTTTTTCCTACAGCAACAAAAATATTTTCACCATTACAGACCCATTGGATTCATAGTTGCCCGTCTTACCCCAAACTCAATGTCAGAAGTTCAGCACGGTTTTTTATGTGGACAATTTGATGCAGACAAAGCAAATCCGCGGTAAATGAACACTGGTGGCATGAGTGTACCACAAGTGATTGCTAGTTTTTAACTCCATAGTGCTGCACACAAAAGCTTGTACAATACCTACATTTTTGATGTTTGGAATGAAATGAGTGTTTCAAAGAAATCAAAATAAAAGATTATTGACTGAACAGTGAACACAACTTCACCAGATTTCAATGGTGATGTGTAGTGGGAAAGGCAATTCTGGTCCTAATTTTTCTGTCTCGTAGCGCTATTGGTTTGGTCTGCAGAAGGGGTGCCCGTCCTACCTACCCTGACCGTCTTACCCCACTTTCCCCTAAATTACGGCTATTTTTACGCATTTCTACATAAACGTAATATTTTTCAGAATCGTTTACTTGGTGGTAGCATTATTCCTTTTTTGAGCCGCTGCTCACTCTTTGTCTCGTTGAATAGCAGTACACACACCACAATACACCAATGTCTGTTGGTTTGACGATCTCAACGAAAGAATGGCCCGAGGAACATTGCTTAGGAAAGAACACCGTGCGACAATTTTATGCGCTTATATACCAGCTTATGAAGGCAAATAACCAGTGCTTAGCACTGGTGCTAGGCCACGCTTTACGATTTAGCATACCAGTCGTCATTTGCTGCATTTGCGTTGCAGCGTGAAGCACACTTTTCCATGTCTTACAACAAACGGACTGCATTCTGCTCGGTGGCCAGTCCGTCCGCCGGTTGTTACGTAATGCGGCACAGCATATCTGCAGGCGCTCACTACTAGCGACATCTCTGGACAGAGAGTGAAGCTACAAGCCCACTACGCGAGCGGGATATGCAGATTCCTGTTGCAGCCGGGCGTGACGGCATCGGTTCGGTTGAGTGCGAATCACGACCGTTAGGTAGGTATGTATTTTGTTATGTAATGAGGCACACTATTCAAACGGGTTTTACTAGCTTGTGACATCTCTGTGTGTAGAAATGAAAAGTGAAACCAACCAGTGTATACCAGCAAGATGTATTTACCTAATTTAATCGTCCGAAACAAAGCCATTGGTAAAATAATTTTTTACGGCTCCAGAATACATAGGCTTCGATGTTCGCTTTGGTCAGCGAACATCGAAAACTTCTCACTCTTATTGGCATAAGCATAATCAGAACCCCTTGCCAACCAGTGTTATGATGTTTGCGAGTCAAGTTATGCCGCCGCGAGCACCGGACATGTTTGTAAGTGCTCGGTACTGGTATAGGACATGCACGTACGTGCCTACACGGGGCATTATGCACGAAAAGGGTTATGTCCCGGTGTCAATAAAGCTGACACCGTCTCCTTCAATAACCCGGCTCTTCCGACGAACGATATTCACGGTACCTACACTATTCTTTCTTGCTCGTTCCTAGTCAGGCAAATGGCCACGCCTACGTTACGTCCTACAGGTCCTATATTTAGGTCGTCTTATTAAAACTATTATGTCTTAGAATGGGACCAAAGTGTCCAGCCAGCTATCCATTTTCAGCGCCGGTCCCGTAATAACCTGCGTCTCGTTTTATCAAATTTACTCCGTAAACCTCCTTTTTCGTGGACATTTGCCTACTCATTTCGCATTCCGTTTAATACTAGCCCCATTGCGGCATCAAAACCCGCCTCTGGAGACGCGCAGAAATCGAGTAAGTTTGGGACGTCCGTCAGCGGAGTGTCAAAGGTCAACAGCAACTACCGGCCGAGTTGGCCGGCAGCGTCATCCACCGCCCGAGCCGGCCGGTAAACAAACCGTCAGCGGGCTGCAGCGGCCAGCGAGGCACGGAACATCGGGGCTTCAAAATATAACCATGTCTACCTAAAATTCCAGTTAGTAGGCGATGGACGCATTTAACGTGCCATCACGGGACAGGATCAGTGCTACTCAACTGACTTTAAGCTGGCTACGGCTGCTCCCTCTAACCGCAAACTATATCATTCAGGAGTCTCGAATATCGAGCGCCGGAGCGAATCGAACCCCGGCTCTCACTTACGGGAGCTCAAAGCTCTCCTAAACACTAGATGATCTACAGGACGGACCCTTCGCTGTAACCTGTCATAAATCTCACCGAAAGTGGCCGACAAAAGGCACCCAAAGGTCAAGGTGCCAACATGATAATGATAATCCCATTTCCGGCCGGCGGATATCTAAATCAGTGACGTCATTTGAATGACGTCAGCGCCACTGTCGCCCCCGGCAGTCTCCGTAGGCGGGAGACCATACGTGACCGTTCGACCGCACACGTTCCAGTCCAGCCGTCGTGAGCCGAATTAGTGTTCTAGGCACGCTTCGGCACATCACGTGCTGGGTGTCTGCAGCAATACGAGGTATCGCGTCGTAACGCTACGTTCGAACAATTTTCATCTAGAAGGCAGTCTTTGTCGAGGTAAAAAGGATCAATTCGACGGAGGCTTTTCTCAGTCCCTTACGTCAGAACCAAAGACAAAATGAGGAACAATGGCATCCCAACGTGTTGCGGACATCGCTAGCGAACAAATCTTCGGTATTTCCTCTTCAACCAAACACGCCTCTTGCCAGTCATGACTCTTGCGCCTACGTCTCTACTTGTAGGCCGGTGGCACTTCAATGCCACGATTATATCACCACAACCAACACCACGCCCTCCACAAACACGACTTATTCTGTAGAATGTCGTATTCAATGTCTAGCAAAATCAACGCCACTATAGTGAAATAAAACAAACATTTGGATAATTTATTTAATGAGACATGTGTACAAAGCAAGCACGTTGTGTACAATCATCTGTAATTTGTCGTACGCCGGTGTCGGCTCTGATTGGTGCGGGGCGGCCCCTCTGTCCTGGTGTCTCCCGTACCGCGCCCGTCCCGTGCTCTCTCCGTCGTGGAATGCCTACACCAGCGCCGACTGGCGGCCGCCGCGCGCACTGCACGCTCCGCCGCCGACCGGCAGGTGGCAGCAGCAGCGGCGGGCGGGCCGCCGTTACCAGGGGACGTGCTCTCTGCGACGACACTCTCATAAATAACCCCGCACTACACAGGACGCTACCATATACAGAATAAAACAGGCATAATTTGATCACGCACAACGCCAGAGTAAACAAACCGCCGGAGACCGCCCCAAATTAGCCCAGCAGACACAATAATCAGATAATAATAGAAACTCTGCCGTAAAGCCGACTCGGCTGACTCGCTGCCCGGCGGCGCCGCCGCGCTCCGGCCGGCCGGCCGGGGCCCGCGCACCTCTCACACGCAGGGATCACTCGCCGGTCCACACCACTCGCCTCAGCCGACCACGGATCACACTCGTCACGCGCGCACACACTCACGCAGTCTGTCTCGGTATATGTACACGCACAACACCTAGGGCGGTGGCTGTGTCCGTGTTTAGAGAAGGGAGGAGCCGCGCGCTCCTGGTCACGCGCAGCCGGTTATAAACTATCTGTGGACAACCGAGCGTGAGTGCCTAAATGTACCTCCGCGTGCCGCGAGTCTCCGGAGGGGGGTACGAGTCAGTAAGTAAGTGAGTCAGTCAGTCGGTAAATCAGTGAGTCAGTCAGGATGTGCGCGGTTGCGGATGTTCTATTTCCTAGTTGCATCTTGATGTGTCCCCGTCCCATTTTGTGATGTTTACTAAACTAGCGTCCGTCGTAGGGCCTTGCAGACCGATATGTCCTCTCTCTGTCCGCCCCTAGTGTCTCAGTGTCCGCCGTGTGTCCGTGTGTGTCCTGTGTGTCCGGGTGTGTCCGCCGTGTGTCCTGTATGTCCGGCGTGTGTCCTGTGTCCTGTGTGTCCGTGTGAGGGCGCCGCGTCTGGCCCGGGGGTGCTGCGTCGTCGGTACTTGCCGGCGGAGCCTCGCCAGCCGCTGTTCCGTCTCGGCGCGGCGATCAGTGCCAGCGGGCCGGCCCCGCGACCCTTCACCTGAAACCCAGCGCCGGGCGGGCGGTCAGCGGCTGCAGGGAACACGTGCTCGGTTATCGGAGCGGGGAGCACGAGCGGGCAGTGACGTCACGCAGTGATGGAGTGCAGAGTCCAGGCGGTCGCGGGTTATCAGTAGACATCAGCATTCATTGAGTGTCGGTGCAACAATGGTATGATATGAAAACAGTGTCCTGAAATTGATTTTTCGGAGAGTGTGATTGAAGCCGCAAGGACGTCAGTATTTCATAAGGACGTCGATATCGGTGCGGAGCCTCAGCCACTAAAGATCCCTTAAATCTCTTAAAATTAGCGATTTTCACGAGCAATTGTGACTAATAGCACCTCAAGGCACCTCAAAGGATCATATCACGTGGATCATATATAGACGCAAAGTAATGCCAGTTTAACCCTAGTACAATACAAACTTCAATCATTCATCACAAACACCAAAACAACACTTTGAAGATGTTTAGTTCTTGTCCATGATCGTACACAACAGTCAGTAACAAATATGCTTCAACAAAAATCAGCCCAAGAGCCAGCGGCTATCACTAAATATTGACGTCATAAGAGGGATATTATATCGAGCAAGAGGAGTGACGTAAAAAAAACACGTCCAAACAAGGAGATGGAAAACAGCTAGGAAAATTAATTTCCATAGCTTCCTGTTATGAAATTCAATTAAGAAAACTCCAAAGTAGACGCTGAATTTTTCTTGGCTGGAAAAAATGTGGAATCATCGTGCACTTTTCAGTTTTGTACCGACGTCGATTTAATGGGAATGACAAGGTCAATCGACGTCCCCAACATTGCGTGTATTTTTAAGCCAAAGAAGACATACTTTAATTAAAACTGTTGAAATTCGGTAACTTTATTTTAATTCAAATAAATAAACACAAACTTTTTTCCCAACCACTATCAACATATGCAAAATAAACTACTTTTGAAGGGTAGGTTCAAGGGGCAGCGCTACTCCGTTACTGTGGCCTTCTGAGGGGAAAAAAATAATTAAATATGTTACAGTGATTTGATACAAAAGGTATCTTGTGTGCTTATAGATGAATGTCGAAGTAATATATTCGCATGATTAATTTTTATCTATACACTGCACAGTTACTAAAACTGAAAAGTGGAAAACGACGTCCTCAGATCCCTCTATTCCGACGTCTTTTCTCCTTCATATGGCAGCTCTTACCTTCACATGATAAAGGAAAAAACCTATCCATATCTGACGCACAGAAAACGAAAATAAAACCGCGTTGTTTACTGTTGCGGCAGTTCGCCAGCGGTGTTGGAAAGGGGAGTTAAGTATAAGAGTGGGTTTGTGATGCCGTGGGATATATTTGTTGTCATTTTGCACAGCCGTGTTTTTAGGCCACAGAGGTGATATTTCTTTTTGTTAGTTTGCTTTTGGTGTTCGATATACTTGTCTACTTTTATCTGTCAGGGACGTCGTTTGGCTTTCCGGGACGTCACAAAGAGAATCTGTTCGGGTGTGGGTTTCCACCCAAATTCACGAAAATCAGGACACTGTATGAAAACGCTCGCGCAGGTCGGGTGAACATAGAGGAAAGTGGAATCACATTATCGCATGAAACCAACACGATAATCCAATTCATCGCTTGAAAACCATTCAACAGCTAGAGACAAAGACCTCTGAATTTAGCCTTAATATCATCGCCATGGCTCAACACCTCTTAGTATTATGACCCTTTAGCCCTAAAATTATTTAACTAATAGTCTGACCGAAGGGGCTCGTTAACTCTGAAATTAAGCACCACACTAAATCCGATCTAAGAACACACCGTCATGTTGCCCTGCCCCCTCCCTCTCCCCCCCCCCCTCGACACGCACCTATCGTTGGTCGCTCAGCAGCAGCCGCTCTTGTTGGCCTCGATGGGCCGTCCCTCCTGGATGTTGACGCGGCCCGCCGTCTGCTCAGCGGCCGACTGTGGGCCCATGCGGCTCTTGATCTCCGAGGCCATGGTCAGGAAGGCCTGCTCGACATTGGTGGCCGACTTGGCCGAGGTTTCCAGGAACGGGATACCCAGCTGGTCGGCGTACTCCTGTGAGAGGAGCGGGGGGGTTGAGAGTGAGCTACGAGGCACATTCGGCAAAACATCCGTCTACAGAACTAAATTTGACTGTAACTGCATTCCACGAGGTGCGACGCAGAGTCCGTGAGTCATCAAATGCGACATACGGGTAACAAAAATAATAATGAAATAAATACTTCGCACATTAAAACAAGCCTAAGCCACCACGCGTCAAGTACCCCTCAAAGTGAGTCAATTAGCATGATTGTCAGCAGATACAGGACGCCAGAGATCAACTTCTGAACCATACCCATTGTCAAGATGTCGCGGTCGTTCGTGAATGAAGCTGCACAGCGCACACGGTAAATGCCAGATGCTCGGCGACCGACCTTTGGACAGAGTTCAATGGAGCCGAACACACGTCAAGGACAATATCGCCCCACGATCGCGTAGTGTTTTGTTACCGTCAAACGAAACCAGTTATGTAGACGGTCCATTGACCAAACGAGGAAACCATATCACGGAACTGCATAAACGAAGTGTGCTATGAAACAAGGATGGTGATCAATGATTTTTCCTTAGAAGCTAGACAAAAGTGGAACATCGCACACATTTGTGAACGAAATCGACGCCGATCGCCGAACGTAACGTATCCAAACAAATCTGACGCTATATTTACGGTAAAAGTATACACTGCTATCAATATCCGAAGGAGATCCGTATCGCCGCCACCATGCTAGCGAGCGCCAGCGGCGGCTGAGGCGTTTGACACCAATCCTCCTCATCACCATGATCCCTCTGGGGGTGGTGCGCGTGGTGACGCTCACACTGGGCGGCCTGGTGCCCGCCTTCGCCACATTCAGAGCCCTGGAGCGCGAGGACACCCCTGCGCAGCGCGTGCTGCTGGCCTACTGGTGTGTGTTCGCGGTGGCGACGGCGGTGGAGGTGCCGGCGGACGCAGCGCTCTCCTGGCTGCCGCTGTACGGCGAGACCAAGCTGGCGCTGCTGCTGTGGCTGCTGACGCCGCAGTTCGCCGGCGCCGTGCTGCTCTACCGCGGCCCGCTGACCGGCTGGCTGCGCCGACACCAGGACGCCATCGAGCACGGCCTACAGCACGCGCACCTGCAGTACGGCGTGTGGGCGCTGGCCGCCCTGCTCCGCGGCACCTTCGGCCTGCTCATCACCCTAGCCAGGGCCGCCTGGCTCATGGCCCCGGCCCACACCCAGACAGCGGCCGCTCAGCCGCCGCCGCCACCGCAGTACGGCACGGCGGTCTGCCCCGCGTGGCCCGAGGCGGGGACGGCGGCGGGGTCCGTCCCGGCCCGACCTAGCTCCGGGAGACCGGCGCCCCTCGACACAGCTCAGGTAACCCTACTCAGCGCTGGTTTAGAGGAATCGTGCACCATGCTGCTGCGCACAGCACTGGCCGCACAGGCTGGAAACCAACTCCTGGCCAGCCTGCAGAGCCAGGCTGCCGTGCTGGGCCAACCACCGCCGGGCACGAGAAAACGCCACAGCCGGCGGCGCACCATCTCGGCCGCTGCCGCTGCCGTCACCACGGCCGGTCCCAGCGAGCGGGGCAGGTCGGAGAGCCCGCCCGAGTCCAGCGAGGCCAGCGTGTTCGGCACCCCGCCGACGGCCGGTCCGCCCGACAGGCAGTGAAATCAGCGGACAGCCGGCCAGCGGACAGGACCCCAGCGGATAGACACAGACGGCGATCGGAGCGATAGGCGGCGGACGGCGGCAGATGGAGATCGCAGAGATAGCGGAACGACGGACGACGAGCGAAACGACGACCGGGTGACGGCTGGACTGGGACGAGTTTTGGGAGCGGAGAGCATGGTATCGTATAGTGGGAGATATGGGAGCTTATGATGGTTTTCGATTCGGAATAGAGAGGTGGTTCTAGTGCCTGTGTGAATATCTTAGTGCTATCAATTTTCTTACGTGACAGGATGATACCATTTGAAATAACCTCCAAGACATCGCAGGCTAGTTAAATATCATTGATCGTAATCACTATTCGTGATTCAACCCATCAACCTTTTAATCACCAGTTCTCTCTCGCTACTTCAAATCCCTCCCCGTGTCACACCTCTAAAAAAGCTCGCCGAGGGCGGCCCGCCCGGCGTCCGCGGATCATACGGTACGTCCGTTACCGTCCGCCCGTCTATCCACGCTCTGACGAGCTCAGTCTACCCGGCGCACCGTGACACCCTCCCCGGCCCGGCCGGCGAGGCAGCCAACCGCGCCGTCCGCCGAGCCCGACCGACAACGTTACCAGTCGCCGAGCACAGCGGAGCAGCGGCGCCGAGCGCCCGGCGACAGATCCTCACCTTAGCCGTGGTGAAGTCGACCACCTTCTTGGTGGCCAGGTCGCACTTGTTGCCGACCAGCAGTTTGTTGACGTTGTCGCACGCGTAGCGGTCGATCTCCTGCAGCCACTGCTTGACGTTGCCGAAGCTCTCCTGGTCGGTGCAGTCGTAGACGACGATGATGCCGTGCGCGCCGCGGTAGTACGACGATGTGATGGTGCGGAACCGCTCCTGGCCAGCCGTGTCCCAGATCTGCAGCTTGATAGTCTTACCTTCCAGCTCGATTGTGCGGATTTTCTGCAGAGAGACGAGGGGGGAGTTAGCAGGTATGGAGACGGGTGCATCGAATGTCCGTTGCGTGACCGGGAATGCCACAGCGTGCTAGGGGGATTAAGCGTGAGAGAGGAGCACGACACGGGTGGTACCAAAGGGTCGATACAATACCAGTGCAACGAGGCTCAGCACGACGAGAAAATGACATAAAGTCGAACCACGGAACTCAATAATATAACGCTCCACCGTGTATACCTCACGGTATACTCATGTGAGGGCAGAATGCAGAAAACGGGAACATTTCTGTTTAAGTTTGATGCGCTTCGACCAAACACTACAACAATAAATAATAGCATACCACCGTCCACATTAAAAACGATCAAAGCCTAATAGCCACTCCGACATTGAAGCACCCGCGTTGGGGCTGGGCCCAGTAACCGACTCTCAACACCAGCCGGTCAAGACATAATCGGTGCTGTCGGACACCATGACATCAACTGTCGAAAACACTACTCGATCCAGGCCACGGCGCGTGTAATCTACTGTAATCGCAAGCAAATCAGCTGGCTACGGCGATAAGGAAGATGGATAAGAACGCTGCAAAGAACTGTCACTTCCAGGCGAAAATAGGTTAGTAGATTAATAAGGCGAAATTAGTGAAAAAGGAAAACTGATCTTCAAGCGAGTGAATGAATTGATTTACACCTGTGCGCACCGTTCCACAAGGAAGCTCATTTATTTATGGTGTGTTATTATTCACCAAGAACAATAAAAGAGTTGATATATCAGTAATTGACCTTCGTCGGGATCTGATATTTCGTCGCTCTGGCTATTAATCCACATATAACACTTCCAGACGATCAGGCTCCTCCCTCATACCATGCGTAATGCGCCCCTCTCCCTCACAAAACACCCTTGTCGCAGGGACGGGGCCCGTTATCAAACCCGTCTGGGTCGGCTGTTCCGGAACAAACAGCGCTGGCCGCTCGATACGCGCCGATCAGCTGGGCAGGTGACGCGTCCGGCCAACGCCTAACGAACAGACACTGGCTGGTAGCTGGCCGTATACAGAGAGACGATGGCCGGTAACTAGTGAATACTAAAAACCACCAGGGAAAATGGATACGCCAGGTACCCGAGTGATTCTTAGGATATTACGATTTAAACCGACCAGCATAGCACATATTCCATACACGAATGACAAAACTTGGAACAAAAAGTGGAAAGAAGCTAGATCACCTGGGAATTCCAGGTTCATACGTGGCGAATTTTTATACACCGTGCTTTTCCCTGACGACAGTGATGTCACGACGAAACCGGTTTTCTGACATCAGAAGAGCCCAACATCATCCAAAGGGCCCTAAAAACGTCCAATCTCGAGTCCTCGACGCTTGGAAACAATAACACAAACATTCATTGATGTTTTCTTGGAATCGCAGCGATTCAGCCAACTTCGCCACAGGTGGGCGAATGACAGAACCACACCTGAGAACGTTCTAGGCACTTTCTGGTAGAGAAGTTTGTGAGTCTGACACGAGGGGAGTGGGGCTATTGAACCACGGCACATGAAGCTCTAAAACATCTCATGTGTCCTAACAGAGGCAGAAACTAAGCCAGCGACGTGACGGTCAATGGATCGTAGTCGAATTGGGCCGCAGATGGCGCCCTCTATACGGCGGCAGCTGAACAGATCAGCTGCGCAGCACTCGATGGGCTAACTGCCGCCGACGCGTGACTCACAGAGCCAATGACGTCATCAGGCCCACGGCCAGACCTACTGCGACGGAGATGCGCCCGAGACAACAAAGGCGGCCTCCACTCAGACTTCGCAACAAACAGAAACACGAAATACAAGGACACATAACAACAGATTGGAACATCATAAAAACAAACACTAAAAAGTTGTTGATACACTGCACCAACAACAACGGATATGCAAGTGCAAAAACACGCTAAATACAATAAACAAATACAAAGACCGCCTCATCCTAAGCCGTCCGGTCATCTGCTGGTTCACCCCAAAGGGACCCTCTCACCATTCCACTAGGCCGTTCTGTCCCCCTCCCCCCCCCCCGAGTATCCTGCCCATTCCATGGGACGTCTCATTCTCCCCTGGGCCTTAGCTTATAAATGCCATAGAATGGATGTGGCAGCACTGACCGGCTCAAGTTAAAGCGGCCATTAAATGATTTTTTTCTTCTGCACAAAACCAGTCCATCATGCATCGAAAGGCCCACGAATCGTTTTGTTTACTCGGATACACATTTAGCAACACTGGCATCACTGCAAATGTTACCAAATACTATGATAGAAGAGTCATGCCTTCAGCCACTTAGGACACCCCGCCCAGCGGTACTTACGAAGTCCACTCCGATCGTACTGATGTAGCTTTCCGTGTATGTGTCGTCCTGCGAACAAACAGACACAGTCAGTACAGACCCAGACAGTTAAACAGGCCCAGACGGTCAAACAGACCCAAATGGAGTCTATTAAATAATACAATATAAAAATGGCACGCAAAAATTCACGACAGAGTTTAACAGACCCACAAGAAGAGAAAGTCTGAATTAAGCCAAGCAAACGCAATGACAGTAAAAAAGCGTTGATAGACACAAACAATAGACAATAGACATACGGCATAGACCCAAAGGTCAGGTAGACAAACAGAGCCACATGTACCTAGACTGAGTCAAACAGAACCACAAACAGGCCCGAATTGAGTCAAACAGACACACAAACAGGCCCAGATTGAGTCAAACAAACCCACAAACAGGCCCAGACTCAGTTAGCTAGCGACGCTCCCACCCGCCCGACACATGCTCCGTGGCAGACACCGGCGTCACGGGCGCACATTTCGCACGGCTATATACACATGAGACACCGTCCTTCAAGGTCGCCTATTGCAGCATACGAGATACCGCACCATGCCGGGAAGCGTGTACAATATTTGGGGTGGAACAGCTCTTCAAAAAGTTATCGACCTTGGTTGACTCTGATAAGCTCCGTATGACTGTATGACTTCGTTTAACCTAGTTTTTGCGGCTTTCGTTGCGATTTCGTACACACACGGTGGTTGCCAATTTTCGCGTGCCGTCCGTAGCGGGATTGGTGAGCGATATATCGCTAAAATGGCACGACGATAGCGCACTTGAGCTGGGCAGTGTCGTTAACAGATCGGTAATATCCACAGAGTTGTAAAATCTCGGACATGTTGGTGAAATCCGACAAGTAAATCCCCTTCGCAGCATTTCATCAAATAACCAACTGAGATAGCTAGCTAGCCAAATGATAATTTGTACACCTCCCGATGCATAACGATGCATAACGTTGTCCGTAATGTTCTCGCAACAACTCTAGAAAGTTACGATTTTGTCCGTTTTAACAATGCACATGTCAAAACTTACTCCTTAGGAGTTAGTCCAAAAGAGTTAAACTGATATGTTTATCCCAACTTACCGCAAACCTGAGAAGTAGGCATGATTTTCCGACGCCGGAGTCGCCGATCAGAAGCAGCTTGAAGAGGTAGTCACTGGAATAGGCACAAAGGGTTATATTGTGCTACAAACATCTCACCAAATGCACATAAATGGCCGTCAATATGACAGCTCTAGGGCCATTCGATGTGTCATGGTCGTCAGCTGCAGAACTGCTAAGGTCACAACATACTGTCACAGAAGAAGAAAGACATGAAGCACATGCCATGGAAAACAAAGCTGGAGAAAGCACATAACAAGCATTATTATTTATAGTGTATATAATGTATAATATTGTAGCAAAGAAAACTTATCACAACCCCATGAAAGATTGAGCAGGCCAACAACAACCAAAGGGTCAATTCCCTCATTTCCCTACCACTCTGCCAAAGAAATATAAATGTGAAAAATCACACCAGAAAAGGGCCTTTTCAAGTTTTATAATCTAAAAATTAGAATCAAAGTGAAAGCAGATTAAGCAATGCAACTTGGTGCAGCAATGCACCCCCATTTAATATTCTATAAGTATACTTTTCTGTAAAAAAAAAAATACCAAAAATGTTAATAAACCAAGCTCCATTGAAAGAAAAATGCATCCAACCAGGCCACAACATTAAAAACATAAAAGGAAACTAAACATTTCTATTGTGAAACAACATTATTTTGGTGAAAGAATGTACATCACATGTCATTAAGTAGCTCAGTATCTCAAAACTGATAATGCAGTCTCAAATAAATAATGTTCAAACCATGTAGGTATATATGCAGTCATGACACATTGCCTGCTTGTGCAACTTGTACAGAAGCCAGTTCCACACGTCCAATTTCGTTAGACGTTTGTGGTGTGCTGGTCCATTCCTGACAACGTTGATGTAAAAAACTGTCAGATAAGCATGATTCACTGGCTAAGAAAAGTTTATAATACATGACAGCTCATGATGTCTGTAGGTAAATCAAAATATTTGTCCCAGATCTCAACTGTCCGAACACCGAGTGCAGCCATCATTTGAAAAGTGAACTGGATTACCGACCAAAGTTTAAGGATCATGCCAGAAAGTTAAAACGCTTACATTGAAAAATGTGTTTGAAAAGCCCAACATAACATGAATAAAGAAAGCAATGGACAAAGGAATCATTCTTCCTCAGGAATGGGCCAGCACGCCACAAACGTCTAACAAAATTGGCGAGTTTCTAGCATCTAATACTTACTATTCAGGGTTCATGGTGATATATCAATAAGTACACAAAGAGCTTGACTTTAATTCCGTGTGGCCCCGCTTTTTGTACACTAATTCGAAATTATCAATTTTCCTGTTTTATGGGACCATCAACTCAGAAATAACACTGGCCACCCAACAGCTGACGTCAATGCTGAGGGCGTGCGTGCAATTATGACGCAGCAATTGTGACGCATTCGTGATATTTTCTGTCAAATCCTAGAAAAATTGTGGTGATCGTTTTTAAAATTTATTTCTATTTTGCCACATATACAACTTTGCAATGGTGGTATGTGATTGAATCCTAATGAGCACCATAGCCTTCCCATTTTGTATCAGACTTTCAGGCACATAATTTAGTATCGGTATCTCTCCAAGTTTGGAGATGCATATTTTACAGTGCTATAATTTGTCAGATATAAAATAAAGTTTCCATCAGAACTTTTCTCCATTCCAAATTTTAATTGTTTCTTAAAACAAAATTATGACATTCAATAGCTTAAAAAGGATAACTTTAGCACAAAAGGTGAATAAAAATTCATCCTCAAGAACGTTACTTGAAATGCTCAATTATGCCGCAGCGTATTCATTTCGGTTGTCTGTGGTTATTGTGTTGGGGGAGGGGAAGATAGATTATATTAATTTTGGATTAATTAATTGGTGGATGCTTAAAGGAATTTATCGTCGTATATGAAACCATGTGGTCGTTTTTCTCAAGAGATCCAGCGAAAGACTTTGCATTCGATATTGGTGAACCAGTAAAGGGACTCGAAAACAGAAGCTTTTGGCGATTGCACAAAGGACGTAGAAAGGTAAAGAAGGTTTAAACTTTTATTTCATATTGCTGAGCTGTTGTGAGTATAAGCATAGGTGGTGGAACGGGGAGGGCACCGTGCCTTCCTTTGATTTGGGAGTTTTAACATAAGCCCTATGGGCGTTGCATGGAAAGAATGGGGCCAAAAGTCGGCAGTGCCCCCACCCCTTACTGAAGGTGTTCCGCCACTACTGAGTATAAGTGTGCATTCACAAATTAAGTGCAGACTGAAACTGTAATCAGGACACTGCTCAGATGCTGCTTTCTTGTCAGCAAGCTGTGAGCTTGCTAGTTCAGCATCTTATTGATCTCAATGATTTCATTCTCATGGCCTGTGTGATAGGTACAATCATAAGAAAAGAAAATTGCCATTTGCCAGCAAGGAGTTTCCACATTTGCAAAACACATCATCATGCTGTTGATAACTAAGATCAATGTTCAGCTAGTACACCAACACTGCTTATACATTTATTTGTTACGTTTCAACCAGGGATGCGGAGCCGGAGCCGGAGTCGGAGCCGGAGCCGCCGGAGCCGGCATATTTTGCCCGGAGCCGGAGCCGGAGCCGGAGCCGTGAAACAATATAGCCCGGAGCCGGAGCCGGAGCCGGAGCCGCCAAAAAAGGGGGCGACTCCGGCTCCTTTTTATTTTTTGAAGAGGAAAAAAATAATTGACCTAGTTCGGTTTGACAGTACAAAGCAGTAAAACATACAGTACTATTGGTCTCAAGATAAGGGCCCAGGCGACCTGTAGTTTTGATGCGGTGAATACCCTCACCCTAGCCACAACTCGAGTGGGGGTGGCGCTGGCTGGAAGGAGGGGTGCACTCGGCCCGAGTTGTGGCGAGGGCAATAGTATTCACCGCATCAAAACTACAGGTCGCCTGGGCCCTTATCTTGAGACCAGTAGTACGTCATGGGCCATCAAGTGAATGAAAAAAGCCGAATATCCCCAGTATCCCACAGTACGCAATCAACTTCCTGTCTGCTCCTCCCCCCCCCCCCCCCACGTCTACTGCATCCCCAGAACATGAGGACCGGTCATCAGGTGACGGCCATTGTTTTGAAGCCAGTGCAGTGGACTGCGACTCCCAGCACCGTCTCTTCCCACCCCCACCCCCACCCCCCAATGCAGCCGAGACGGGTGTCAGCTTACGATGGTTCAGTGAACTCCGATTCGCGGCGACTGCGTTTCCAATGCCATCGCTTCCTAGTCCTTTGTTCCTAGTCCTGTTGAGAAAAATAGCCTTAGTGGTTAGTTGTTATGCAAATACAGAAGCAACGTGTACCAATCTAATTTTTCTTCCACCCGTATTTAATTCATGATTGCATAGGGGATGTACTGAGTCGGAGCCGGAGCCGCCGGAGCCGGAGCCGCCGGAGCCGGACCATTTTACTCGGAGCCGGAGCCGGAGCCGGAGCCGCCATAACATTTCACCCGGAGCCGGAGCCGGAGCCGGAGCCGATTTTTTCTCCGGAGCCGGAGCCGGAGCCGGAGCCGTCTGAAATTTCCACGGCTCCGCATCCCTGGTTTCAACTATTAGAAGCATGCTGGCAGGCCAAATTGCTTTCAAGACACAATGACACTTATTGACTGTGTCTTTTCTGAAGAGTAGTGCAGTGCTGAATCACAATTTCACACTTATGTGAGCATACTTCAAACCTTGTAAAAACATCAATATTTGTGTCAACTACCTATGGATTTTCAGTGCTGTAGCCATTGCTGCCACATGCAATGCCGCCCTGATGACAGATTGAAACTCTGACCGACAGGGCACCACTCAGGATGTATCCGTGTTTGTGTGTGATGCTAAGGACTCCTCAGCCCAGCTGGAGCTGGCTAAGACAGCTGTCAAGAGGCTGAAGACCCTCCGTCATCCAGGTGTAGTCACCTACATTGACAGCACTGAGGTGAGATATTGTTGTGTACACAATTTGGTCTGTCTTAAGAGCTACTCTGATGCCTTCTTGTTTATAGATAATAACTAATATTTTTAGTAAAGGTGTTAAATTGTATGCATGCCACATGGACAGTACTTGTAAGTTGAACAGGCATATTTTGCCCAGGTTGGTTTCAGTATCAGCAAAACCTACTACATTTGTTTTACCAATAACACTGAACCACCTCTATCTGATAGGGTATTTTTTGTGGGTGTCCAGGATGGGTGAATGTTCAAAACCAACATGTACAGCTTGTTGAAGTTGTGACCTTTGTCACCTGATTACAAACTGCCATTTGAATTGAATAGCATCACTTTGATTCAGATGCTTTGGAATTTCACATAGGCCTCTGACAAGACAATTTGTGTTAGAAGCAAATGACGAATATATGGCCAAATGACGAATATGTGCCCAACTCTATACTCTATAGCATTCTCACCATCCCCTGGCTCATTCTCCCACTGGGGTACTGAAGCGGGTAATGGTCGACCAAACCCTGACACCAGAACACCGCATTTCCTCGATCACAGACGGACAAGCTGGTGTACCTGGCCACGGAGCCGGTGACGCCGCTGGAGGAATGGCTGGAGAACTGCTCCGTCACCGCCAAACAGCGCGACCTGGCCATCTCGTGGGGACTCCTCCAGATCACGGTCAGTGCCGTAGGTAGCGGTCATGTTTAGCAGAGGTTGCGGTCAGTGTTGCAGAGTCACGGCCAAGTTTGTGAGGGCCGTGGTGACATTTGTAGATAACGCTTGATTCTGATATCCTCTTACTATGGTTGAGTGGAGAAAATAAGTGATAAAGATGCCAAACAGTGACGCCATTGTATTAGGCTACTGGCTAGGTGCCTACAGTTTTGTGGTTTTGTAGAAGTTCCATAACTTTGATTATTTTGTCACTAGCTCTGGGCTACGAGTTGAATTGAATCTCTATTTTCTCGCAACCTTGTTTTGAAGGGCTATGTTATGAACGGCTGTGTCTCCAGTTTAGTCATTTGCCGGCCGTATCTCTTCCGCAGAAAGCGTTGAGTTTCCTGATCAACGATGGCAAACTGCAACACAACAACATCTGCATGTCGTCCGTGTTCGTGGACGCCGCCGGGGAGTGGAAACTCGGCGGTACGTAAACTACTTACAATGCGGGTTAAATGCTTCGGTTGAACCTGCTATAAAAGGACAGGCTGCTGGTGTTTTGTTATCAAATGAGATATCGTTACACAAAGTATGGTAGATATAATTTTTAAAGAATTTAATGAATGCGATTAGTACTTTCTCGATAAAACATTCATGAAATATTGAATTACGTGGAGTTAATTTGAAAATCACAACATCTAACTGGACAAAAGCCGCACTATCACGATGTTTCTGTGATGAGTGTAGGCTATGCTATATATAACGATGGACTGTGCGCTCGTATCGGCCAGGTCTGGAGTACGTGTCGTCGGAGGGCGCCGGCAGCGCGCCGCCGCAGAAGGCGTTCCCTCAGCTCCAGGTGTACGATCCGCCCGAGTGGAGCGACCCGTCCAAACAGCGACTCACCACCGCCTGGTGAGTGGCGGGACAGTGGGTCCCGAACTCGGGACGGGTCGGAGGGGTGCAGTTAGGGCGGGGCTGACCTCTCTCTATTGTCGTCTCGCAGCAAGTGAAGCCTTGCGTGTGGAAATAACGTATTTATATTTCGTTTTATTTTCAGTAACACTGAACTTTTAGGTATGGTAACGATGGACCGGTGCAATTGTAGGATATCCTATTGTGGTCTGTTGCTTTTGTCATCGAAACGCTGCCAATTGCCATAGCTTTTACCGAAACTCTGGCGGCCAGGTGGCCATTAGCAGTTGGTTGTATCATCAGAGGCTTTCAATGACACTCGAATCACGCCTGCCTAGCTACTCAGAGACTTGTGCATAACGTATTTTCACTTTTCGACGGCTTTATTTGCGATGATGATTGATGGCTTACCGCAGAAAACGCTTCTAGTTTACAGTGTTGTAGAAAAGCTTCATACCTTGTTTTATCATTTCATGTGCAAAGCACATAACGCCAGTTCCTAATGCGGCTGCCCTTATCCCAGGTCTAACGACACATGGGGCCTCGGATGTCTGATGTTCGAAGTTTTCAACGGGCAGCTGATGAAGAAAACCGCGCTCAAGTCTACTGCCAAGGTATGATAAACGGCAATCAACTGTTACCGGTACCAGAACAATCGCGGGCGGCATGTGATAAGCCTGTTTGCCAACTGATTCGATAGTCCTTTGTTTGAAAAGGTGCTTCCGGAAGCAGCATTGCATCTGGATTCTTAACACTAACAGCAGTATTTTCACCAATCTTGACCTATATTGGCCCGCGATGACGTCTTTCCAACTGCCTAGATCTCTGTCGCCGCTCTATGATACTAACCTGCACTGACCTGTAATACGTCGACCCCTCCCCCGCAGCTGCCGCAGTCCCTGACGCCGCTCTACACGGATCTGGTGAGCGGCAACCCGGCCGGTCGGCCGAACCCCGCCGAGGTGGTGGAGCGCGGCCGAAAACCGGGCGGCTTCTTCCACAACAACCTCATCCAGTCGCTGCTCTTCGTCGAGGAGATCCAGATCA